GCGGCCGCCAACTTCGGCTGCAACGCGGTGGGGCTTGACGTGTGCGACCAGACCTACACCGCGGCCGGCGCGAAGCTCCTGCAGTGCGGCAGGAGATCTCCCGGGCCCTTTGCAGCGAAGAGAAATCATGTGAACCCTTCAACCCCCTTCCCCTCCCCCAGTTTAGCTCAGGGGGTTTCCCTGAAAGAAAAGGATCCCCGAAAAACGGAGCCTTTGAATAAGTGGGAGGTTTATTGTTCAGGGGTCAGCGATCAAAAACACACCAAGGTGATATGGTGTTTGTTCACTCCGGTCTTTTTTTTTGACGGCTTCAAGCAAAAACTCGTGGCTCTGGCTTTGCACCAACTCCAAAGCGGGTACCCAACCAAGACACACTCCCAAAAAGCGCACCTTGAAGCGCGGCAGGAGATTTCCTTCGGGAAAGAGATACTTGGTTTAGTATCTATGTCAGTTTTACGGTGAAATTCACGAGCAGACGAGTTTTGCACGCACCAGCCAGGTTAGCCCCTTCATGTCCTGGATCATGCGCCATGCACATAGCGCGCCCGCATGATGCGAGACTGTGGTTGGTTTGGATTTTAGGTACTTCGCCCCCTTTGGCAGGGCTCCTTAAAAAATACATTTTGCACATTTGAAACATGTTGCCTTTTTCAACACCAAAATAAAGGGACACCACAATTTACAAGGCAATGTTCAGGTGTTGCTATTGTAAGGATCCCTGTGCCTCAAAATCAAAAGGAACTGGGGTTTTGCTTCTCGCCATGAGAAGCTTCAGGGCTCACGCTGATCTGGGCATGTGCAATGCAATGGTTTCGCTGTGTCAAGGAACCACAGGTTGACATCGAGTCAGGATAGCGTTTGGTGAGATGCTCTGAGCTTGGTTTCCCGTTCCTCTGGAATCAGAGTCTCAAGTCCCCAAACCAATCCAACATATAGGGCCCTGTTGCCGGCTTCGTGTGGATGGACAGATTTCACTTCGCACCAGTTGGAATGGCTGAGCTTCCAATGGAATAAAGGGGGGGGGTTAAAGCAGTTTGGGTTTTCCACCCAAATTGCTCACAACATAAACTATAACCGCCAAAAACCATGCAACAGCTGTGGTAAAAATGCGCTTAAGCCAAGAACACCCACCTTAAGCCAAGCACTGTGCCTCTCTCCGGCAGCAAGAAAGCCATTTCGGGCGATTGCCTCGGTTTTTGGGGCAACTCTTGGCTTGTTGGTTCGGGGTGCGAAATGTTTGGATGGGTTGCCATTGGTTTTCTCGATCGCGGAGGGTCCCTGAATTCAAAGCCGAAAAGCAGATGCATGACAAACAGTTGAGTACCCTCAGACTAATGGAAGTTGGGGCCTCGCAATATGTTCCTTTGACACTGAAGCAACCTGGAGTGTTCGGCGGCTCAAACCACAGGACCCAAGGTTCAGTTGAGATCAAAACCCTTTGCTTGGATTCACATCGCGAGGAGTGCGACCAACTGCCTGACTACGGGGCCAGTGTGTGTTGAGGGCTGATGCGGCACGCAGAAAGTGGGTTTATGAATGGGATGCTCCGCGTTGGCATAATGGCAGCGGACCGATTTCCCACCCATTTTCGGCGACTTCCGTTCGGATATGTGGCGGTCGTTGCAAAAGACATATGCTCGCAGAATGTGTTTGCCGCGTCGGCTTGTTTCCGGCAGGTTCCTGCTTTCCTACTTCGATTATTTCTTCTACGCCTCCTCCTCCTCCTCCTCCTCCTCCTCCTTGTTCTTTTTCTACTTCTTCTTTGTTCCAAATCAATCCTATACCTCTGAACCCAGCCCCAGACAAACTTGTTATTTCAGAGTAGATGACCCATGATTTGGATTTGGATCAACTTCGCCACGAGTCCCTAAGAGAGGACACCCATTTGTTGACCCCGTGAGCCCTATGTGCCACGGTCACCGTTCGCTTAGAGTTGGGGATGATTCAACCTGGAGTTGGGGTGTTGGTCAAACAGGTGACCCTGCCAAGCGGTTTCGGTGTCCCTTCAAACCAACCCCCAACAATACCAACTCAAAGCAAACGGAAGGCCATGTAGACGGGTCCCCAAGAGAATTCTCACAAAGGCAACCACAGCGCATCGCCCTTTTTAAGGTACCCCCAAAAAGGTGGTTTGGATTGGTGGCTTGGGGATTTGAGAACTTTCTGGGTTGAGATGGGTCCACAAGCCCTCAGGTTTCACCGCCAAACCACCGAGGAACGGCTCCAAACCACCCAAGAGGAAGCTGACTTTTGATCTATCGAGTGAGGGTCTTAAAGGTCACAAATTTTCGGGTCACATCCGAAGTTCGCAACAGGTTCTGAACCCATGGATCCACACGAGTTTTGGGGGAATCGAACGCCGGAAGGGAAGGCCACCAGATGTTTGGAGCCCAGGTTTCCAAAAGGAAGCCGGGCTGATGCTGATCAGTCCGAGATTCCCCACCCAGTTTGGATCACCAAATGGTTCAGGGCTTAAAGCCTTTTGGGCTTCCGCGGGAAGCAACCAATTTGTCCGGACTGAGATGTGGTTTCGCTTCCAATTCCCATGTTCAGCCACCCCAACGGAATTCCCTGAACCCTGCCTTGAAGGGTTGACACCAAGGGTGGCATCGCGACCACGCTGTGCCAGACAGGGTCACCGGGTTGGGTGATTCCAGCCCCTTTGCACACCTCTGAACCCCTGTTGTTTCAACAATCCTTTTTGGTTTCCCAAGTTTGAGCCACAGTTTTAGCCACTGTGCCCCGATATTTTCCGACTGAACGTTGACAACCAACCCTGGAGCGGGAAAGGGACCAGGTTCTCAAGGGTCTAGGACAAATCAGTTCAAATGTAGGGACGCCATGCATTGCGTAGATCCACCCATGGCGCAATTCGAGATTCGGCATCTCTGCTGTCTTCCTGTCCAAGACGCGCTGTACTATTTGGCCCCGGATAGGCAAACCTCGATTTGAATGACCTACTGTGGATGGACGAAATCCTGCACCACTTTGAAACCATGGGAAACCATTGTTCGTTGCTATTTACAGGGAAAACACAATTCCAGGGTTTTTTAGGTGGTGCAGGATTTCGTCCATCCACAGTACGTTTAGTTACCTGGCTTATGAGTTGCTTGTGTAGATGAATGATTATGCGTTGCCAAGATCTTCATGGACTGGCATGCGTTTGCCGCCAACCCATTTTGAGCTCAGGAGTAGCCAAAAACACCTGATTCTCAGGAAGGGATTCCATGTTTGCGCCCAAGACAATGAGACATGTTTTACCGGGAGGGAGGGAGGGAGGGAGGGAGGGAGGGAGGGAGGGAGGGAGGGGGAGGGAGGGAGGGAGGGAGGGAGGGAGGGAGGGAGGGAGGGAGGGAGAGGGAGGGAGGGAGGGAGGGAGGGAGGGAGGGGAGGGAGGGAGGGAGGGAGGGAGGGAGGAGGGAGGGAGGGAGGGAGGGGGGAGGGAGGGAGCGGCAGGTGACTGTTTGTTAAAACTTGGGATTCCATACTGAAGAAATGCGAATAACCAAGTTGCTTGTAGCCTGAGACTACACCTGCGTGCTTGGCTTTTCCGGCGCCAAAAATGGTTCGCGTTGTTTTGGTTCGACCTTGTCCACTCGCATGATGTCAGGTGAAACAAGACGGTTTCGCCCATGTCACCCTGCATGTCTAAGTTAGTCCCGCAAAGACCGATGCCTGCTGCACCTTTTTGCGCTTTCGGCTGAACAGAGGATAATTAAGGAGTGTATAGAGCTTTCCAGTAGCCTTTGTTGCAGCCATGGGCCTCACTGTCGGCGAGTGTTGTTCTCTGTTTTGCTCCTACTTGCTCCCCCCAGTTGGCATCTGGTTAAAGTTCGGCTGTGGAACATTTGCCTGCTGCTGACCATCATCGGCTACTTCCCAGGAGTGGTCTATGCTTGCTTCACCCGCGGCAGCTCCCAGAATGTACTTTGCATACTACTTTTGTACTGAAAAATGCGATTTTGGAGCGGCAGCTCCTGGAATGTACTTCGCGTACTTCATTCGTACTGAAAATGCGAAGCTGCAGCTTCCCATATCGAAAAGATGGTGAGACAACTATATTGTAAAAAGGGTCATGCTCCCCCTATAAGGGAGTGTAAACAACCACATGCGACCGCGGGAGGTGTAAAAGGTGCAATTCAGGGAACCGTGGCTATGGGCCGACATGTTTTCAGTTTGCCTTTTTTGTTTTTGTGAGTGGCCTTGGCCATTTTTGTGTCTTAAAGTAGTTTCAAGTACAAGCCCAAGCCCCAGTTGACCGCCCAAAGATTATGAAGGCAGTTGCCCGACCTAGGTTTTGGGTCAAAGGATGGTCGTGGACTCGGAATTCTAGACCTTGCAACCGAATCGACCGTCACTTGCAGAGTTCGTCAAGGTTCCAAAGTCACCCGGGTCCCAACTACCTTTTGGACCCTTGGGATTGACTGGTTGAGAAAGCAGTTGCTGGGGGGCGGGTCCGCTGATCAACTTTGTTTCCAGGTCGGTTCTCTTGGTCCTTTTGGTTTCCTTGGCTCCGAAAGCCGATCACTTTTTTCCAGGTCCCTTGAACTTTGTAATTTGGGAAACCCGCCCCTTTTGGAAGTGATTAGCAAATAACCCGGATACTACATTCGTACTTGAAAAGCGCAACTTTCGAGCTGCAGCTCCTTCGCGTACTACTTTTCTTCTCTTCTTTCCTCTCCTCTCCTCTCCACTTCTCTTCTGTTCCCTTCCCTCCCCTTCCTTTTTCTTCAATTATCTTCTCTTCTTTTTCTCTTCTTTCTTCTCTTTTCTCTTATCTCTTCTCTTCCCTCTTCTCTCCGCTTTCTTCTCTTCTAGTATATTCTCCCTTCTCTTCTTCTCGCTTCTTCTCTCTTCTTCTCTCTTCTTCTCTCTCTTCTCTCTCTTCTCTCTCTTCTCTCTTCTCTCTCTTCTCTCTTCTCTCTCTTCTCTCTCTTCTCTCTCTTCTCTCTCTTCTCTCTCTTCTCTCTCTTCTCTCTTCTCTCTCTTCTCTCTCTTCTCTCTCTTCTCTCTTCTCTCTCTTCTCTCTCTTCTCTCTCTTCTCTCTCTTCTCTCTCTTCTCTCTCTTCTCTCTCTTCTCTCTCTTCTCTCTCTTCTCTTTCTTCTCTCTCTTCTCTCTCTCTTCTCTCTTTGCTCTCTCTTCTGTCTCTTCTCTCTCTTCTCTCTCTTCTCTCTCTTCTCTCTCTTCTCTCTCTTCTCTCTCCCCTCTCTCCTCACGATTTGTCCTTTTTTTTTTGAAACAACATAGTAATTTATCTTTTCTCTCCTCTCTCTGTCTGTCTCTCTCTCTCTCTCTTTCTTCTACCTTTCTTTCTTTTCTCTCTCTTCTCTCTTTTCTCTCTCTTCTCTCTCTCTCTCTCTCTTCTATGTCTTTTCTCTCTTCTCTCTTCTCTCTTCTGTCTTCTTTTCTCTCTTCTGTCTCCTCTCTTTTATCTTCTATTTTGTTTCTTCTCTTTCTTCTTTTGCTTGTCTCTCTTTCCTCATCTCTTCTTCTCTTTTTTGCTCTCTCCTCTTGTTCTCTCATCTCTTCTTCTCTCTTCCTTTTTTTGTCTTCTCTATCCTCTCTCTCTTTCTCTTTTTTCTTTTCTCTCTTATTGTCTTTCTTTTCTCTCTCCTCTCTCTCTCTCTCTCTCTCGCTTTCTCGCTTCTATCTTCTCTATCTTCTCGTTCTTCTCTCTTTTCTCTTTTTCCCTTTGTTCTCTTCTAGCTTGTGCCTCTCTTATCTTTCTTCTCTTTTCTCTTTTTCTCTGTTCTCTTCTTCAATCCCTCTTTTGTGTTTTCTTCTTCTCTCGTCTCTTCTTTTTGCTTCACTCTTCTCTCTTTTCTTTTCTCTTGTCTTTTCTTCTCTCATTTTGTTTTCCCTCCTTTCAACTTTTTTCTCTTGTCTCTCTTCTCTCTTCCCTCTTTTCTCTCTTCTCATTCCCTCTCTCTCTCTCGTCTCTCTTCTCTTTGTCTTTCTCTGTCTCTCTCTCTCTCTCTTTCTTTTCTCTTGTCTCTTTTCCCTTTTCTCTTTTCTCTTCTTCTCTCAAATCTTCTTTACTATCTTATCTCTTCTCTCTTATTCTTCTCTCTTATCACTTCTCTTTTCTCTTCTTTCATTTCGTCTTCTCTCTTCTCAAATCGTTTCTCTTGTCTCTCTTCTCTCTTCCTTCTTTTCTCTCTTCTCCCTCTCTCGTCTCTCTCCTCTCTTTTTTCTTCTTTCTCTTCTCTTTTCTCTTGCCTCTTTCCCCTTTTCTCTTTCCCCTTTTCTCTTTGCTCTTCTTCTCTCACCTCTTCTTCTCTCTTCTGAATTCTATTTTCTCTTCTTTTCTTTTCGTCTCTTCCCTTCTCCCATCTCTTCTCTTCTCTCCTGTCCTCTTCTCTCCTGTCCTCTTCTCTCCTGTCCTCTTCTCTTCTTTTCTTCTCCTTTCTGGTCTTCTGCCTTCCTTTTTTCCTTTACTTTCGCTTTTGGAAAGTACGATGTTTCGAAAAGGGCGCTTCACGTACTGCCCTCGTACTTAAAAGTTTCGCTTTCGAGCCGCAGCTGGAAATTCGCACCGCGCCACAGCGAGAGCGATTCGACCCACCCAAAGTGCGCAGAGGGTTCACTTTGCATTCACTGTGCATTTTCAATATGTGCCCCGCGCCACAGCAAGAGCGATTCGATCCTTTTGAAGTGCGCAGAGTGTTCACTTTGCATTCACTTTGCATTTTCTGAAATGTGCCCCGCGCCAGTGCGAGAGCGACTCGGCCCACCCAAAGTGCGCAGAGGGTTCACTTTGCATTCGCGCAGTGCTCGCGTCGCAACGACCGTGAATCCTTGCCCCAATGGAATGGCAATGACTTCGCGCGAAAAGTGCTTTTTGAAGCAGGTCAAAACGAGCCGATTCGATTGCACGACAGGGCCGACGAAAACGACCCTCAAGCAAACGCTCGCGCTAGCATTCCAAGCAAAACGCCTCAACACGAGCACCCCGGAAACGCGAATCCCATTGTATTTGCAATGCAAACGTAGAAGCTCAGGAAACACGGCGCCTGCGCAGCGAAACGACCCGTCGGGCTTGAGAAGCTACGATTCGCGCACAGGGCCAGCAAAACAGCGCGTCGCAAGTCATCAAGCTCACACGTTCTGCGCTGCCCCACTGCAATTGGATTTTGGACCTTGCGACGACGACACCGCGACGAGCCAACGAACGACACGGCGACAAGCCGACCAACACGACGCGAACAAGGGTCCAACCCCCAGACCCCCACACTATAACGGACACCCTTTGCTACGCTTTCGGGAAAAAGGAGGAGACCCACCTCTTCCATGACGTGAGTGAAGTGTTAGATATTGGTTTTCGGGTGTTTTGAGGATCGGGCTGGCCCGCCGTAGGCGTCTTCGCGCGTGCGGTTTTACCACTGCGCATGTGCATGTGAACGCTTTCTTCGTGGGAAGAGTTTGTCGATTTGTCATACGCACTTGCGTGTGAAGTTGAATTGGGGATGCTTTGATGGACATCGCTTTGCTGGGATTTTATTTCCAACGCCCCAGGTCTTCAAACATGCTAGCATGTTTCAACCATCCATGCCAGGATTCCCATCGAACAGTTCGAGCTGTGCCCTTTAGTCAGGACTCGTACTGGGGGCAAACTGCTGGTGTGCCAAACGAATGAGAGCGAGAGAGAGAGAGAAAGAGAGAAATAGAGAGAGAGAGAGAGACAAAGCGAGCGAGAGAAAGAGAGCGAGAGCGAGAGAGAAATAGGGAGAGGGAGGGGAGGGAGCGGCATGTGACTGTCTGTTAAAACTAGGGATTCCATACTGTGGCTCCTTTCTTTTGAAGACGCTAATAAAACTTGTCTTAGTCAGAAAAAAAGAGCCACCCTGGTTGGCACTTGGCGCAAACGCTGGCAGGCGCCGCTTCTGCCGTTGAAGCTGCTTGGATTGCCTGAAAGAAGCTGGAAAGAGCCCATTGTGTTGATGCGCGGGTCTCGGCCCTGTAAGATGGCAAGGGCGAATACCAACCACGCAGGAGTCCCCATGGCATTTTGCGAAACGTCCATAATGTGAACAAAAGGATCTTCTGAAACGAAAGGGACACTAGGGGCCCTACTCCATGTGGCTTCAAAAGGCACCGGGGCCAACTGTCTGTATTTGATTTGTTTTTTGTTTTCCCCTGGAGAACAGCTCCAGGGCAAATCCCATGTGGTATTCTGGGTGTCTTTTGTCGAGGGACCCCTTTGGAATCCAGTCGGGAAAACGGGTTCCCGACACACACGCACGCCCACACACACACACCCAGACAGAAATACACACAGACACAGACACACAGACACACCCAAACAGACATACACACACACACACATCCTTCAAGCAGCTTCTTGTTTCACCATCCCTCGGGGTGCTGAAATTGGCCGAAACGCTCGAAACGAGACCGGCCGAAGCCGAGTTGCCGCGTTTCCTTTCGAGGCGAAAGCTTGCCTTGCCTCGGGGGGTTGCTTCAGTGCCGAAGGGCAGCAGGGTATCTGAAGCCCTTTTCAGTCTCCCCGTTCCTGTGTTTTCCAACTCATTCCTTTTTTCCCCTTCCAATAAACTTGAAGCAGATGCCCAAAAAAGAGGCAGAATGGATTTGAAGTAGTTTTCCCCCCAACAAGAGGCAGCCATTAGCAACAGAAGTCCCCACCTGCCCCATCTCTTTGGCCGCAACTTCGGCGCCATGCTGGGCGGCACGCCGGGGGTGTCGGAGGGCCGGCGGCCCTTGCTGGTGCACTGCCGTGACGGCGTGCGCCGCGCTGAGTGCGATCTGGGAGGGCGGAGCAGGAGTGAGGTGCTTTAGATGAACATGTTTTTTGGTTCCATCGGATTTTGATGAGAAGCTCAGGTGATATCCCCAGCTTGCGGTGCTCTTTTTGGTGCTCGCACCACCCCGCAGATTCTCGTAGAACCCTCGTGGAACCCTGGTGGAACCCTGGTGGAACCCCCCGGAGCTTATCTGGGCTGAGACCCCAAAGCTTTCAGCTGTTGGGGAATAAAGAGAACAACAAGATATCGGGCATTCCAAGGTCCAGGATGATTCTCAAAACACAAGCGGGTCTGGAGCGCCTTGGCACGTGCCTTGCTTTAGAATCAGACACTTGTCAAACATAGATATGAATTGGCCCAACTCGTTTTGACGCATTTGTCCAACCTATCCTGCTTTCAGGTCACTCTCAATTGGTGGCTTGGATGGGTGGTTTGGGGGTTTGAAGCCCCGGTTCCGAGCGCAAATGGGAAACCAGCGCCTAAGTCCCAAACCACCACTCAAACCCTTCTTATTGAGGAAACTGAGCGGTGAATTTGCGGTCGGTTTCTGCTTTTCTCCGTTTCAGGAAGGTTTGCTTTGTTTCGCGGCTCGCGACCGAGCTGTGGGCCGGGCTCCTTTTCGAGGTGGCGCGCGCCGAAGCCGCTCAGCGAGTGGCTCAGAGGCTTCGGTTTGGCTCGGATCGGTTTGGCGGTTTTGGTATGGCCCAAAGTCGCGAATGGAATTGGGGGCTGGGTGATCCCTGGAAATTCGACGTATGGTTGATTTGTTCCTTTTGTGACTAGCAAATGAACTTGGGGCTGTTGCCCAGGAGCATTTTCTCGCAGTTAACTTCTGTAGATTTTTTGGGGGTAGTGGCAATCATGTCTAAATGTGCAACTGGCAATATGATTGCTAGTTTGGGAGGACGGGGGCAGAACTCAAACTCCCCACGACCAAAGTGACATGGCAATTTTCATTTTTGATCGCCCGGCCTTGAATCAAGAAGAATCTGCAGTCGGGTGTGTGTTTCTTTGATAGTACGCTTTCCATACAACTTGGGTCAAAGGCAAAAAACAACCCTCCACGACCCCATTTTGACTAGGATTGTGGCGAGACCTGCACATTTTTTTAGCGCAGAAACAAGCCATTGGGTGAAACGGCCGCTGACTACATCAGGATGGCCATGGGAAACATGAGCAACATGGGTCCCATTTTTTCCGGGTTGCGCTGCATTTCTCCTTCACGTGGCCCGATAAAGAACAAGAAGAGGAATTTCTCCTGGACGAGGAAGGACAAAGGTTCACGGGTGCTTCGGGTGATTCCCAAAGCTCCCTGGCTCCGAAGCCACTTCAACGCTTCTCGAAGCTGACCGGCTGGTCTTTCCGGCTCGAGAGTACTCTTTCAACGGTTTATCCCTTCCATTGGCTCAAGAGTAATTGTGTTGTGAACTTCTCTCCTGTTGGCTTTAGAGGGAATCTATCACTGGAACTATGTTCATGTCCACACTTCAGCAAATGGTTCATGCGTGATGGATTCAGTGAAGGAAACATCTACATTTGGGCTTTTGTATTCTACATCTACATTTTCCAGGGAACCCTTAATTGGTGGTTTGGATTGGTGGCTTAGGGATTACATCACATTCTCTCTTTTTTTTTGGGGGGGGGTCTAGGGGTCTAAGGGGTTATTCTCTATCCTCTCTTAGGTGTCCAATGTTCGCTGAGTTGCCGAAACAATTTCATCCGCTTTTCCCGGGCGAACCACGAGGGAAGCTGAAACTTTTGGGCTGAGGATTCGTGGGGATTTCCCCCCCCCCCTGGTAAACCGGGTTCCAAATCACCAGGTAGATGGAAGCTGAAAAACTTTTGGTTCGTTTTATGCTTCCAAGGTTCATCCCACGTCCAAGGCGAGACGGGGCTGCAGAGCTTTGCTCCAAATGCGCCCAGCCCCCGCCTGAACCCCAGTGCAACGGCGCCGGGAGAGTTCTGCGTGAGCGGCTCAGTGCTGGAGAAATCACCCCCCCTTCAGGGCTGATTTGCCGCTGCTGCTACGGGCTGCGAAGTCGCACTCGAGCAGCGATCCTGTTTGTGTAATCGTGCAATTTGTCGCCGCCACGTGGATCTATCATCGTATATCACATAGATGTTAAGCTAAAGTTGAGCAGTAATCAAGCACATACTTTAGATGGACACATACAGGTGCATGTGTGCGCATATATATATATATATATATATACATATGTAGCTCTTGGATTTTGAGAACAAATGAGTGGAACACCAGTAGAATGCGAAGCAGCGGACTTGCATGTATGACCAGTTTTGACACCATCTCTGGACAGCTTTGAGTGTTTTTTTGCTCCAGTCCTAGCCCCATGAAGCATGTATGTACCTTGGGGGGGGGGGACGAACGAAAACCTGTGATGTAGGTCCTTTACTTGGGGCTCCGCATCTTATTTCAGATGATGGACATACAAGTTGGGTGAAAGTAGACGCAATTCCAACCCGCTCATCCCCTTTCCGGGCATTGTGCCACCGACCTTCTGCACCTCATGTGTGTGGGGCCCGGAGTGTAATCCTCCAACATGGCGCCTGACCGGGTCCGAAGAGGAAAGTTGATCTTCCAGGTACCCAGCCGCCTTCCTTTAGGTTGTGCAATCTCCGGCAGCTTTGCTCAGATTCAACGTAGCTGGCCGCGGTCTCTCCGCGCGGCAGATTCACGCAATGTCTCGACTCGCCGTGGCCCTTCTCTCCCTCCCAGCGCTGGAGGTGGGAGGTCGAGGGCGCCCAAACCGGGTATGAAATTGGCACCCTCCCGGCAATAAACATGGAACCTGACGTTTCCGGGTTCTGGAAGACCATGTTCCCTTTAAAGAGACTGGGTCCCGAACGTCAGGTTCCACGTGAATCGATGGGCGAGTCCTGAAACCCCTTTCACTGATATCTGCGTCTTTTTTATCGTCTCAACCGACCAAAAAAGGATCCTTTTTTTTCTTCCCATGGCTGGGTTTTGCCATGTTGAGGTTTGAGACAAACCCATAGGGTCAGCCACGAGCGACCGTGGCGAGTGGAAGCTTCGAAGCCATGATTGTCATATACCCACCTCTGCTAGCCAAGGAAACTACCATTTTGGATCCAAACACATGCACACACAGGTGCAGAGTTTTGTTGGGTGGCTGAAAGCACAACACTTTGCACGGGGGCGAAGGTAGGAGAGCGGCGCAAGAGCCACGTAAGGGGGCACCCCCGATCCCGATGGCCGGGAAAGGCACATTGAATTGTGGCTGTAGGAAAGGTGCAATCAACCGACATGTTGCCCCTCTTCCTCTTCTCTGCGGGCTTATGTGTCCTTCCTTGATCATTTCCTGATGTTTTTTTCTTTGCCCTTGTACATTCTAGCAAAGCATAGTGAACGAGCGCAAGGTATTCAAGGGTCAGGCGCAGATCGCGCCAAACGCCTCTGTCTCTCGAGAGCTCTGATGTTTTAGAACAGCCGAAAACCCCATGTATCCAGCTCTGATGATCCAGCCATGTACCCAGCTCTGATGATCCAGGCTCTCATTTTCTTTAGTTCTCATACCAGCTCTGGGGTCTCCTCCCTGATTTTTTCCTGCCCACCCCGTATATCGCGCCGAGCTGGTCATATGGACTCCTCGCTTTCAGCTGGGGAGCATAGGTGTCCTTTTTGGTTGGTAAAATAGAAGGCCGTGACCTAGTGGTTCAATCATCTACCAGGGCCATCTATTTTCCAAGAAGGACACCTTTGCTGGGGAGAAAATAGAACTAAATTCGAGTTTCCCCCGACAAACCCTCGAAACTCGACCAGACGCCAACCCTTCCGAAGCCTTTCCGAATTGTATTTGTTGCTTCGGGGCCCCGCAATTTTTTTTGCTTCGTTTTTTTTTCAGGCTCTGAAGGTGACCAAAGTGGAGAGCGGGGAGTGGGAGCCCGTGATGAAGATCGCCCAGACCTCCACCCTAGGCTTCAGCTCCATCTACTGGTCCAACAATGAGCTGCTGAACGCCGCCTCCCCGTTGGCGGAGGAGGCGTCAACCGATTTGTGGCTCCGAAGGGGCAACCAAGAAAAACATGAAAGACCGCAACAGAGGGCTACTAAGATGGATGGACGAAATCCATTTCGCACGACCTAAGAGACCCTAGAATGATATGATCCCCTGTAAATACCGTAACAAACACTGGTTTCCCATGGTGCCTTGGGTGGTGCGAAATGGATTGTGTCCATCCACAGTATGACTTACCTCCCCCTTTCCAGGTCTTTGTTTTAAGCGGGTGAAGAAACCCTCCTAACATGGACGCCACCATGGTCCCCTCAGGCAAGTCGCCCAAAAAAAAGTCCCCCGAAGGGTCCGAAATCAGTGGACAAGAGACCACCTCCCCCCCCGAGCACGGCACCGGGGTACCTGGAAGATCAACATGGAAGAAAAGGAACCCATCTAGGTGGACGCCAAGTACTTCGGCTACCTGTCGCTGCCCTTCAAACAGACCTTCGGCATGTCTTGAGCGAGCGTCTTTGGGGTTTTGCTTCTTTTTCTTGGGGATGTCCCATATCTTTTGTTTTTTCTTCAGGACAAACATGGGTTTAAGGGCTTTCCGTTGGTTGTTTTGCTTTCCGTTCCTTTCGGTTTTTGACGGAACGCCCAAAGGAACACCCAAACAGCCTATTTTCCCTTCTCCCCTCCCGGCAAAACAAGTTGAACACGCCCAAGCCCTTATGCCCTTACACCCCAGCCTGTTCTCCTCTTTGCAGTCTTTTTTTGAGAAAGCCTGGTGCAAGTGTCACATCAAAGGCCATCCGACTTGATGTTTTTCTTCCTTTTTCAGCTGAGCGATTCTGGACCGCGGGTTTTCGGCCAGAACTACCGAGCTGCCCCAAACCGCTCCGGATCTGGGCAATGACCCAAAACTTCCGGCTGCCCCTTATTTGGAGAAGAGGACACTGCACATTTTTTGTTTTTTGTTGGTTCCCCTATGTTGAGACCACACGCGACACTGGCAGAGGATCAAGATGTGTGTGGGGAAACCGGATGACAATTGCGTCACGCACACTTTCGAGAAGGAGTACGAGAGCGCCAAGGAAGGTTGCGTGGGAAGAAAAAAAGAACGACACCCGATTTTGGATCCCATTTTTGCCAGGAGGTTGCTTAAAGGAGAGGTCGCCAACCGAAAGGAAGTTAGGAGGTTGAAACAGTCTGGTAGTGTGGGTGTGTCTTTTGGGGCAACACCAAAATGGCAAACCGGTTTTCCTTTTTGGTTTCCCGTTTAAACCGCAAAAATGGCTACCCTCAAACAAAATGACACACCCATGTTGGCTCCTTTGCGAGAGCAAAAGGATGTCAGCCCCCGTGCTTCAAACCCAAGCGAGGAGCTCTTCACTTCTGGCTACATCCGCGACTCCACCGTGGATCGCGATGGCATCTTGAAAATCTTTGGCCCAACGGCAGGAACATACAAGGACTCACCTTGCGGATCGATGTGTTTGAAGCCTTTTCATAGCTTTCTGCCGTACCAGACAGATCGATTTTGGGATTTTTATAACCTTTCGCCTTGATTTCCTTCATTTTCCCTTACCAGAAAGCCACTTGCCACTTGCAGAAAGCCCCTTTCGGTGAAAACAAAAGCTGTGGTGTCCAGGACTGCCCCATGCAGAGGCCCGGCTTCAACATCCAGTGCAATGATGGGAACAAGGCTCGCTGGGGCTTTTGCTCGAACTGCGCCAGCCAGTCATGCCAGAACGATGATGCCAACGATGCGGATGGGGCCATTGGCATCGGCCTGGCCGGGCAAGCAACACCCAAGGAGATGGGAGCAGGCTGGACCACCTACTTTACGTCTCCAGGTGGCGTTTGCGGCTCCAACAGCGAAATCTACAAGAGTGTGTGGGTGTTCGTTCTGAGCACTCAGCCAGCCTCAAAGCCTTTCACACGCACCGAGTATACTTGGTCGACCGTCATGAAGATGGGTCAGACCACGACGCTGGGATTCAGCTCTGCATACTGGGAGAATGACCAATTGCTCAACGAGAACACCGATGTTACTGTGGAGGGCGATGGCAAGTACTCCAGCTATTTGACCCAAGCCTTCAAGACGATCCGCATGTGCGTGGGCAGTTTTGACTCAGGCCGGAGGTGAAGATGGAAAGCAAGACATGTATGCAATTCTATCTGCAGGAATGTGAAAAAGGTTGTGCCTGATGTTTCCGTGATGCCTGCTGTTTCCATCGCTCAAGCTTTCCAGTTTTGCCATGAGATTCTTCGAGTTGCATGCTACACCAAATGACAAAGCAAGTGGTTGTGCTCCAACTTCCGGACTCAAATGACTCCTAAAGTGTTGAGTGCACGAGCATACAATCGTCGGGCACGGAACCATACGGGAAACAATATAGGCACCTCGACCTGCAGTGGCGGTGTTGGTGGTGGGGAACGTATTAGTTGCAAAGGTAGCGGTAGCTGTTGCAGCAACCGTGGCCGTAGCAGTGGCAGCGGCAGCAGCAGTAGCCGCAGCAGCAGCAGTAGCAGCAGTACTCATGGTGATGGTGGCCGGCGGTTGCGGCGGTTGTTTCTTGCTTGCTTGCTTGCGTGCGTGCGTGCTTGCTTGGTTGCTTGCGTGCGTGCGTGCGTGCTTGCCTGCCTGCCTGCTTGCTTGCTTCTTGGCTTGGCTTGGCTTCTTGGCGTGGCTCGTCTTGGCTTGGCTTGGCTGGCTGGCTTGCGTGCCTGCTGGCTGGCTTGGCTTGGCTGGCTGGCTTGCTTGCCTGCTGGCTGGCTTGGCTTGGCTGGCTGGCTGGCTGGCTGGCTGGCTGGCTGGCTGGCTGGCTTGCTTGCTTGCTTGCTTGCTTGCTTGCTTGCTTGCTTGCTTGCTTGCTTGCTTGCTTGCTTGGATTTCGATGTTGTTGTTTGTGATGGTGATGATGATGATGATGATGATGATGATGATGATGATGATGATGATGATGATGATGATGATGATGGTCTTCATGCTTTTGCTAAGTCCACTTGTTGGTTTTGTTAAGTGTTGTGTTTTTGTGTTGGTGCGGTGCTGTTGGTATTGTTGCTGTTCGTGCTGGTGTTGGCGTTGATGGCGTGGTTGGTGTCGCGGTGGCGGGCTGTTTGCGGGTGGTGAGTCTGTTGCTGTTGCTGCTTTTGCTGGTGTGCTGAAGCCAAAGCAGTCCAGATGCGCTTCTATTTGCGCTGCAGTTCAGGCTGCGTCACGCACACCTTTAGCAAGGAGTACAAGAGCGCCAAGGAGCTTTTCTCAGCTGGCTACATCCGTGACTCCGCTGTAGACCAGGATGGCATGTTCAATGCGTTTGGCCCAACGGCAGGGACATACCAGAAGTGCCCCATGCAGAGGCCCGGCTTCAACATCCAGTGCAATGATGGGAACAAGGCTCGCTGGGGCTTTTGCTCGAACTGCGCCAGCCAGTCGTGCCAGAACGATGATGCCAACGATGCGGATGGGGCCATTGGCATCGGCCTGGCCGGGCAAGCAACACCCAAGGAGATGGGAGCAGGCTGGACCACCTACTTTACGTCTCCAGGTGGCGTTTGCGGCTCGAACAGCGAAATCTACAAGAGCCTTGGTTGCCCAACTCCGAACTTTTGACATCTTTTGACCTGGTCCAAAATGACGGCTCAGTTTTAGTCAAGGTCTCCCTAGCTTACTCCACAGGAAAGAACCCCCAAACCCCACCCATTTTAAGGATCGGGGTTTTTTCTTGAGAGATGGACCGCAAAATTTTGGGCTTTCCAGGTCCCCCAAATGCAGGTTGATGACAAGTTCTTTTTCGTGGGATGACCATTGGGTAAAACCACTAAGATATACCCTTGCTCCCACTCTCATGGCACCTGACAGGGGGGTCCATAGAAGAGGAAGTTGATCTTCCAGGTGCCCTCCTGCAAATGCTATGTGGGGGGAAGCGCTCTTGTCCACTAACATGGAACCTGACAGTCAGGGTCCTGGTTTGGGCAAGTTCCCTTTAAACATGGTTGTTGTTGGGAAACATGTTACATTTTGCTTATTGTGTTTTAGTGGGAAATCCCCACTTAACTGCTGGAATTTAAATTGTTGCTCCCCTAGAAGAATAACATCAACTCAAATGGTCATTTGGACCATACTCTACAGTGTGATCATGTGCCCCGGAATCGCAGTGCCATAGGTTTCCATTCCTAGCCTGAACTGTTTGCATCATTACATTTGGCTCAAGGCAAAAGTCCGTGGGCGGGGGCGGGTCGAATCCCTTAAGTGTTCCTCGTTTGCGGTTGCCATAGCATACACTGGAATCTGTCACTTGACAGTTGCTTGCACGGATTGCACAACTGGGTTCAGGCGGCGGATTCTTTTGGTTATCAGCCGTATCGCAACGGCTTATTCCTTGCAGCTTGGGTCGACAACTTGATATTGGGTGAACAGCAGCAGGCGCACCTGGTTTTATTGGGTTCAGTTGACGAGCTTCAGGAAAAGTACAACCACTTGCAGCTTGGAGCGACTACTTGATCTTGAGTGAGCAGCACTTGGGGGCATTGGGTATAGTCGACGAGCTCTTGGGGATCCCCGATTTATATGCAATCGGAGGAGCAGCGCGACAAGCGTTTCCGGGAGAACGGGTTGCCTAGGACGAGAGGCAAGAGGGCCGGGAACCCGAATCGTCCATCACAGCAAACGCAGAGCAGGCCGCGGACGTCTGCAGCATCACATCGTGGGCCATCGATCGACATCGCTCCTCGGGACTCAGACATAGCTATCAGGACAGCGCCTTGGCGACAAACGGAGTCCAGACGCGCACCTCCAGAGCCAGCTGTTTGGGAAGAGGAGGAGGTGGTAGAGATCGAGGAATCTGATCAGGAGGAGGTAGAGACCAAAGAATCTGATCAGGGGGTGAAGGCGGAAGACCAGGCGGGATCTTCTACGAGCCGGGCACCACATCCGATACCAGAAGGCATTCGTGGAGGCATCGAAAAGACAGCGCTGTTTGTCCTGCGTGTTTCTGAGGGGCAGCGACCCAATTGTATTCGGCAGATTCGAAAGGAACAGGATCCACAGAAGTTTGGTTTTCTGCTGCCGGAGAACGAATATCACTGGTACTTTTTGGAGTGCTTGAATATCGGGTCGGCCAAAGAACTCACAGCTGAGACAGAGGCGAGTCATTCGACCAGGAAGCCTGTACCGGAGCCGGCATCAGCTTCATCGACACCAGCACCGAAGCACTCGACGGGCGGTTTTGTGCCCGAGCCACCGGTTGAGATCAGAGGCTTCAGAGAGCATTGCCCAGAGTGCTGCAGAACACGGTGACGATTGGCAGTGGGAGGTATATAGAAAACAAGATCGCACAGCGTACAGTTTTCTACATCCAGGACACAAGTACCACAGATTTTTTCTGCAGCAGAAGGAGCGTGCGTTGGCAAACACTGGCCAGGCGACGTATTTACCGACCGAGGCGCCGGAGACGACAGACGCCGAGGCGGAGCGGCCCCTAGTTGGCATCGATTGGCATCAGACTTTGGAGCGAGACAACAAGGTCTCCCCTGAGATCGCAAACGCCGTCAAAGCCTTGCAGCGGGTCGCAGACGTGCACATATTCTCCTTTGTCGGTTCAGACACTCGATTGAGAGATACCAGGGACAAGATTGCGGCATCACCAGTTGCTGATCTTGAGGTTCCTTTCTCAAGGCGAAAATCCTGGCAATTTTCTGCTATCACACGTAAGGGGGTGGACACGAGAACCAAGGCTCAGCAGTTTTTGGATTCTGGCGGCCTGTGCCTGATTGACGATCAGGAGACCATCCTTTCTGAATTGAAAGGGAGGTGGGAGCAGGCCGGACTTCCAGCAGAAGCTGCGCCGTGGGGTGTTCTTGTAACCACTTCAAAGGACGTGGAGTTGCAGATTAAGGTCCTGACACGGAAGCTTTCGCATCAGCAGTGTAGCAACACGCATCCGAAGCCATCGCAGAGGAAGGAGCTGTGGTCACAGGCAAGCCAGTAGATCCGTGGGAAGGTGAAAAGATGTCCGATCGGTCTCGAGATAGCCGGAGGGACATTCGTGCAGGGATGTCAGCAACTCCCATAGGTGCATCACCAAGTCAGCCTTCCAGTTCAGATTCTAGTGGCCTCATGCAGGATGATCCCAATCATGTCGCGTTGCAATTGACTCCGAGCCAAGGAAATGATCCAAATCGTGATTCGTTGCAGTTGACCCCATCGCCTACTGGGCAGATGCAAACCCCAGAGTTGATGCCGCCTCCACAGTCGCCTGCTATGCTTGGTGTTTCTCAGACCAATGTTTTGAACGCCCCGCAACAGCATAATACCGTGGAAGCCACCTTCAACGACGGTAGGACGTATCAGCAAAATGTGCTTAACCAGACAGCAGTGTTGACATATGACCCCGATCAGATCGAGGCACTTGTTAATGCTAGGGTGGAAGCAGCCTTGACAGCACAACGTGAATCTTTGAGGCAAGAAGCATTCAGTGTGATTCACAGTGCTCAGCAAGACAGGGATGCCTCCATTCATCAAGCACAGAACCATGCTGCCCATGAAATAGGTGTGAGGGATCAGATGCTAAATAGTGCGGACCATGCCCTTCGCGATCGGGAGCAAAGCCTAAACGTTGCGAGGCAAGAGATTGAGCAAAGAGATCATGCGATCAGGGAGTTGTCAGAAAAGCTTGCACAAGCAGAGGTTCTCATCCAAAGTCTCAATGAGTCGGTGCAAAGGAGTCGTGTTCCAGAACAAGGTTCCAGGGGCACCCCTGCTGTGAGCCCTAAGTATGACCTCCTTGCCGGAAGCCATAATGAGGCGGACTCAAGTGCACATGCTGGTCAGTCATCCACCTCAGGACGTGGTGCTCACGCTGCCGGAAGGCGCGACGCAGCCGCAAGGCGCGACCCCGCTGCCGTACGGCGCGGGGAGGCCACGGACGGGGGTTCGGCAAAGGTCACAAAATCTTCGGGCGTGGACCCGGTTGATGGAGGGTTTGCCGATGATGACGGGGACGAAAGTGTGCATGAATCTAGTTCCGGACCCGAATCCAGCTCAAGTAGTGACAGTGATGTGCAAGGGAGCAAGAGTAGGAAGCCACCCAGTAGTTCCGCTTCTGTATCCATTCAGGGAACAGTGCATGGGGCCTGGGACGTATATTCCGGTAATGAAGATGGGGTTTACAAGGAAAAGAACTTGAAGCTTGTTAAAGTTACAAAGTTGCCTGTTGACTCCACTACATGCCGGGAATGGCGTAGTGCTTTTATTGCCTCCGTGTCTCGCATCGACACTACCGATGGTGATGTGCTCGCCAAGTATGTGTCGCACTGTTTTGAAGGGGGTCGGGGGAAAAGGTTCCGTGAAGCATTGCATAATTCGGTTGTGTTCACTCGGTTCAATAAGCATGTTGCAGCAGAGCTCATCCAAACTGATGTTCTGGCAACAAACACCGAGTTGGCTGCTGAGTTCAGTTCCTATGTCGAATCATGTGCACTTCGTGGGCAAGGGCCGAAAGGCGCACCTCTGTTGAATTTGTTGTATCAGCATTTCTCGGTAGGCGCCAGCGGAGTTGCACTTGGCCAGATGCATTTGCTGGAATTGAAGCTTGAAGGAAACTCTTGGAGTAATGTTCAGGCGTTCATCAGCAAGGCACGGTATATTAGGAATGGACTAAAGGTAGACGATCGTCCGAGCGATGCTACAATGTTCCATTGGTTATGGCATGAAGTCAAAAGAGTTCCATGTTTGTCAAGGATCACAAACAAAGTTCGGGATTCCTCGAGTAGCTCGCATAGACGCTCATTTCAATGGCTCTGGGATGCCATCCATGATGAGCTGAAGGAGCGTCGTGAGGACTCGAACTACGAGAACTTGACGAAAGGGTTGAAGACGGGCCCACAGGCTCCGCCTTATGGTTTAGCTGCTGGCCAAGCCGATAACCCTCGTGCTAGTTCCGCCCAGACAAACAAGGGCAACTCTGAGAGCAAGCCAAGCAGTGAGCATCCCACGGACAAAGCAGATCGGAACAAGAAAACAAAGAAAAACAAGAAAGGAGAGAAGGAGAGTCAGGGGAAACAGGCCGGACCATCAGCACTTCCAGCACAGAGCAGTGAGGGCAGCAAGGGAGAAAAATGGGTCTGCTCTTATCATGCTGCTGGTTTTTGCAGATTTGGTGAAGCTTGTAAACTCTTGCATGTTGGAGAGCCTGGTTCTCAGAAGGCAAGACAAGCATTTAGTGAATCTCAGAAAGGCAAAGGGAATAAGGGAGACGGCAAGGGGAAGGAAAAAGGAAAGAAGGGTGGCCAGAAGGGCGGGGCAACCGCCACAGCCCAAGCTACAGCAACAGCAGCCGCTGCTAGTGCGCCAGTAGGGGCAGCCGCTCAAGAACCAACGCCGGGGTTCTCTCGATGGTTCCGCATGTGGGAGGCCTTTTGTGAACAGGCCAGTTGCGTGCGTTTGCCAATCCCTGCATTTCTCAGAATCACCATCCCCCTCATGATGGCGTGTGTGGATGGATTGCTAGGTGTTGATCTGCCAAATGCAAATGTTGGGTGCTTCCAGAACTTGTTGCAGAACGGCATCGAGATGCCTCAGC